CAACTACTATTAAACCCTAATTCCTATTGCAACTACTATTAAAGACAAAATATTACTCATACTATTACAATGGATGCCTTTGTTATCAGTTAATTATTGCAGTACTACTATTACGTAATAGTTACTATTGTCTCTGGTTTACTTTAAAACTGAGCAATATTGACAGAATATTTGACCACACACACAACAGGATCTTGAGCAATTAGTGATACAGACTCTCTTTTCACAGTCGGTGCATTGGATAGAGTCAAAGAAGGGATGATGAGGGCAGGGATTGAAACAAGGAGGAGGAGGAGGAGGAGGATTGTTCTCTTCATTAAGACCATCCACAAGCCCGTTCATTCCACCAATGGATTCCAGTGTCTTTTGTGAGGCTTGAGGATTAGCACCTTTAAATAACAGTGCTCTTGTGTGTGCTAATGAAGAAAGAGAAGGGAAAATGCATTATGCCTTATGTAGGTCTGAATCAGGGTTTCTAAACAGTATGGGCTTCATGAGCTGAAAAGCACTGCAATACAGTACATGGCATTTGGAGCAACTTTAGAAATTAGTAAAAAATCCAATTTTTATCGGAATCAGCTCAAACTTGCTACACAACATAAGAACATGTATATGTATCAGAGAAACTTATAAAAATGGAGATTTCTCTCCTAGTCATTTTTGGCAAAATTTGGTCAAAATCCCTGTGCTATAGTACAGGGACTTTCGTCCAGTTTTTGAGTAACTTTAAAAATTCGTAAAAAATCCAATTTTGATCGGAATCAGCTCAAACTTGCTACACAACATAAGAACATGTATATGTATCAGGGAAACTTATAAAAATGGAGAATTCTCTCCTAGTCATTTTTGGCAAAATTTGGCCAAGGACCCTGTACTATAGTACAGGGACTTTGGTCCAGTTTTTGAGTAACTTTTAAATTTGTAAAAAAATCCAATTTTGATCAGAATCAGCTCAAACTTGCTATACAACATAAAAACATGTATATGTATCAAAAAATTAATTATCAAACTCTCCTATTCATTTTTGGCAATACACATGAACTCAACCCCCTCAGCATTAATAGTTTAGTGTTAACAACTGGGTGTGGCTTGCTTGTTGTTATTATCATTATTATTGTCTCGTACATACCATAAACTCTTTCCATTTCATCTTCATCTGCAGCTTCTTTGATACCAACATGTACCTTTGATTGAACGGGGATGTATTCCTCAAAAGGATATGGTCGTTTTCTAGGGGCGGCGGCCATGATGATATGGGCGGGGTCTATTAATAAACACACGCCCACGTGCTATCACGTGGATAGGTAGCATAATGAGCAGCAAGAGCAAGTATATTCTTAAAACTCACTTTATTGAGGACTCTGTGAGTACTTGTCAATGCTATTCTACTCTGACAACTATTGTAGGCTAAGACTGCTGAAGGAAGCCTCAGCAATGACAATGAAGAGTCTTTATTTTGGAATTTTGATAAATTTGTGGAGGTAGTCAATTGTCATTCAATTTATTTATATTAATATATTTAAAAAGAAATTCCGAGTCGACATAGTCTCGCTAAGTTATTCTAGTGTGGAGTTTGACATGATTGGATTGGATCCACCAATTGCTAATGCAATACGCCGTATCCTATTAGTTGAAGTAATGTCGTTATTTATTTATTTATTTATATTTGTGCAGGTGCCTACTATGGCTATTGAAAAGGTTCACGTTATAAACAACACGTCCGTGATTCAAGATGGGGTGAGTGGCTGGTGTGACTAAATAAAAAAAGCAATTATATAAAAAATAGATATCAATGTATTCATTTCTCCTCATAACCGTCACACTCCGCCATTTCACAGGTTTTGGCTCACCGTATGGGACTCATTCCACTTTTTGCCGACCCTCGCAAGTTTTCATTTCTACCTCCAAGTTAGTTCTCCATCCACTGATTTAATATTGTCCCATTAAAGGAACAGAGGATGCTCCCTTCCCAGAGCAGCTGACTCCACAGCACATGTTGGAATTTAAATTAAAAGTAAAGTGTAGCCGTAATGTCAATGCACCTAGTGATTCTGAGGATCCTAATGAACTATATATATCACACAAAGGTAGCAAATTATCAAAGTACATTGTACATGTATCTTTATTATTTGATATTATTGTATACTAGTCACCTCTGGAGATATGAAGTGGGTCCCAATCGAGGATCAGTCACAATTGGTGAGTATTATGCTATAATAACAGTTTATCATTTCTTTTTTTTCTCTTTTTTTATTTTATGTACACTCTCTCTTAGTTCTCAGTGCATGATATAAGACCGGTAGATAAAGACATATTGATAGCTAAACTTCGTCCTGGACAAGAGATTGACCTTCGTCTGATTTGTGTCAAAGGTATTGGAAAAGATCATGCCAAATTCTCTCCAGTTGGTAAGCACAAGTACAATCTGTATTAAAGATTATTTTCTTCATTACTTGTGCACAAAGCAACTGCTTCGTATCGTTTATTGCCTGAGATTACACTTACAAAACCAGTCGTGGGACCAGCTGCAGAGAAACTTGCCAGTTGTTTTTCTAAAGGTGTCATTCGTGTTCAAGATGTATCAGGTGTGTCTTCTTGTCCTCTTTATTGCTGATACTTTCTCTCTGAAGGACAAAAGAGAGCAGTTGTGTCAAACCCAAGGAGAGATACTTGCAGTAGAGAAGTATTAAGACATGAAGTAAGTCAAATTGAATTTTTGAGGAAATTTCGACAATAGTTTTTGCTTCCCTAAAGGATTTAAAAGATAGCGTTCAATTGTCGCGTGTAAAGGATCATTTCATATGTAAGTTGATTTATTGTGACTGCATGTCATGTCAGTTTTGTCTTATTATCATCCATCACTCTTCATTCTTGCAATATTTTCGTTCATGGAATATTTTGTGATGTCTTTGCACGGTTTCTGTAATAAAAAATCACTTGATGATAATCTTCCTCTTCCCTTCTCCTCCTTTTATAGTTTCTGTGGAGTCCACTGGTGCCCTCTCAGCAGATACACTAGTACTGGAAGCTATTAGAGTCATGATAGAAAAATGCAATCATTTCATATCGGAACTTGATCGCATTAATGAATGAAAACTATATATTAAATACTGACAATTAACTTTCAGTTTTTATTATCGAGTGAGGCATTATGGGATGAGTCTTGTATGCTTGTTATGCGTGTTTGTCTCTCTGTCTGTATCTTTTGTGTTATCAGCTAGTTGTGAGTTGTGACTCTCTCTGGCTGATACTTGTTGTATGTTGTATACAAACCAATCAAGTTGTTTGCAGTACACGTTCCTTAAACTTCATAATCAAACCTTTGATCACAATTGATTATAACAAAACAGTGGGAGACCAAACAATTTCATTATTCACACTCCTATCTGTCTCTGTATGACTATAGTATAATAAAAATCTATTGTTACTTCTCTTTTTTTTAACTTTCCATTACTTCCTATCCATTCTCTTTCCTTCCCCCTTTATCAGTACATGCATTAATCACATGATCTTATTTGTGATATATAACTTGTAAGAAGTTGAAAATCTGTTGTATCTACAGTAAGTAATGTGCACCTTCTGCCCTTTTCCTCTTCCATTCACATGTGATCTATATGTACTAGATTATCAGCTTGACTGCCTGCTATTGAGGAGTGTCCACATTTCTATGTTATACTCTACAATGCCCTCTCTCTGTCTGATAGGCAACATTAATGCATCTAAAACCTTGTATAATGCTAGAAATTTTATAATGGGAGTGACAGACATATGATTATGCTACATATTTATTATAAATATTGTAAAGTGATTGAGTGGAAGTGAGGTAGGTAATCAGTTTGGAACAGGATATTTGACTTGATTTTTTCCTTTGTAGTTGTGGCTTCCCTTTACACATTTCTAATACCTTTCACATCCATTCAATGCTTATAATAATATGACTGGGCCATACTACTGTGCATAGATAAATATGTAGTGGGTATGAGTACAATGTTACCCTAACAAGATTACACTTATTGATTGAAACATGCAAGGAATGAAAGCTGTGATGATATTGCAAAACTAATGCTACCATCATTCCCAATAATTATTATTATACATACACATGTCGTGTACCATGAAATGAAAGCTATGTATGACTGACAGGTGCTACAGTATAGTTTGAGTATGCTGGTGATTTGTGTGACATTATTTTACAGTATTGTTATACTATGCTATGTAACTTTGAGGTATGTTTACAATGCAAAAAGTATTACTAATACTATGATCCAGCAACATAATAGACCTGAAATCTACATGTAGTTCCATTTTGTACTTATTTGTAACTATTTTGTAGCTATTGATATTCTTGTGTATCCTCCAATCCTATTATTTTAAATATTTTGAATTTCTGTCCCACCAACCACCTGTTGTCATAGATACAGAACCAGCCTTACCAAACAATTGCGCGTCATTAAATACCCCATGGCTTCTGTTGACTGACAATCCTAAGATGCTCCCAATTCCTTTTAAGTCAAGGGCTGCCTTATCTTCTAAAGACGTGCATAGCCAAGTGTTTTGAAATGTGCAAACGTGTCATCGGAAAAAATTTCTAGCGTCAAAAATATTTACTACTATTGATGTATCGACATTAATTGGTGTGGATGAATGAGGGGTGGTGTGATTTTTAAATAAGTTAAGACTTGCAGTGTATGCAGTGGAGTGGGTGGTTTTGCCCATACATGTACATGTATATAATGACGATAATAGAAGTTCTCTCTTTCCATTTAATATTTTTATTAAAGATTAAATAGTATAGTCAACATCTGATTAGGATAATAATAATGACAAAAGAGATTAAGGAATCACAATAAAATGAGAGATGATATGCAATGAATATAATAATACATGAATAAACACACACACACACACACACACACAAAGTGGTATTTTTAAGAGCAACAGCAACACTAAATAACACAATAAAGGATGAGTGATAAACATAACTGAACACAATCGGGTCTACCAGTACAGGATTGCAATGGGATAATATACATTCTGTTCATTTTAATGATGATAATAGTCTCAGGGCTAGCATAAAATGATAACTAGATAACAATATAATACGAGAGAGTGTTGCTCATCTTCCCTGTACCTCATCTACTACACGTGTATGACCTCAGGGTCAGTGTTGGAGATTCGAGGCTCTATTGAGGTCTTCCTTGGGAGCGATCTAAAGTCGTACTCAAACAATCCGTCACCTGAAGTAGAGCTACACCTTGACTCGCCAATGTAGAGCATTGTCTTAGTCATTGGGGATGGGGTAGCAGCTTCGTTAGTATAATCAATGCCCTGGTGTGAGACAACAGTAAGAGGGGACTGTGGGATAGGGCCAATCTGGTGGTGACGGGGAGAATGACGCTTCGACCGTCTATCCAGCGACCCGTAGCATTGACCTTCGTCTATTGGCTGAAAAGAGACCGGGAGTGCTTTCCTTTTTAATGGAGCAGACACGGGCTCTTGCTGCTGCTGTGTTGGTTGACTGGGGCGTGACGGAGTATCAGCTACTGTCGTCAGAGTGTAGCAACTAGCGGCAATGGGAGCCTCGGGGAGGTGAGTGTAGGAGTGATTAATGATGTGTAGGTTATCGCAACTAGTGCTCCTGGTGGTCGTGTGTGAGCCTGGAAGAGGGCTAGTGTCGTTATTAGGAATAGTGCTGTGTCTTTGGTGAGGAGAGGAGTAAGGATGAGGGCTGCCATTTTGAGAGCGCTGAGCACGTCTCATCTGAGCATACCGAGAGGAACTACGGGTGAGGAGGTAGTAAGTGGGCTGACAGCCAAGAGTAGGCTTGTGTCTCTGCTTGCAGCAGGACCAACCGTTTTTAGTAAAAGCACCGGGATGATAGTGCATCAGCATCTCTTGATTGAAATAGCAAGCTAAGGAGGAAGAGATTGAAAGAGAAATAGTAAAGGATGAGTCAAAGCATAGATACATATACGGTCAAAATCATACTGAAAATTATACACATTAAAACTTCAAATACATTGTTGTATACAAAAGATCAAATTATTGACTAAACTGATTTCTACATATAGCTAAGGGATAGAGGCAAAGTTTTGATAAACAAGCCAGACAAGTCAAAACAGTGGAGCCTCACATGACCACTATTATAATGATGTAAGCCTGGTTTACACAAGGGACGGTGGGATTAAACAGTGCGTATCATAAGAACCCACCCTCCCTACCACAAAGACAGTTCCCTAAGGCAAAAGGGGAAATCTCATACTACAACAATGTACATGTAAAAATAATAACAAATTATTAATATTACAGTTCTTATTGCTAAATATAAGGCTATAAGTGTCGCAGGGATAACAATATAAAACTACTGTCTTGTATCTATAACAGCATTACAAGTCATTATAGGCTCCAATTATAGAAGGGAGTTGCCATACAGGACTAACGTTAATACAATAAGGCATATGATATTATCAAGCAAAGCGTGTTAGGGTAATGACATTTAGCGACATATGTCCGTTCTCCTTCATTTGGATCTTCCTTTTACCTTGTCTGATGGCTGATATCCATTCGGTGCACTCCTCCAAGTCTCTTCCTGTTATGTAGAGTGTGACGTGTCCGTGTTTCTTTGATTGATAAATGACCTAAAATACACATATACTAGATAACACTATTGTAATAGTAAAACTAGTGCACAAACATGTCACACACACACACAAACACACACACACACACTAAGGATTATTTTTAAAATGACACACATGCTCATGCACAGATGCATAAGTAAATTCTTTAGATAATTATTATGTGTACACAACATTATAACATTGATACACTAATAGTAAGGGACATCATTATGAAGGAAAGCATGAGAGAGAGAGGCCAGGAATCAATCAATGTTTATAATACAATGTGTGTGAATTATAAAACTGAAGCCAGAGAATGTCTGGAGTCAAGTCAAAAATCACTGCCATTCAAGGGAAGATAATAGAAGCAGCTAACCCACTCCCCCCCTCTCTCTCTCTCTCCTTTTATTCTATAGGTATTATACAAGGTACTAACACAGAAAGTGCTATCTTAAATGAAAATGCTCCAGTTATGTAATATTGCATATCAAGTATCAAAAATCAAAACTGTCTATTGAAAAACTATTGTACACTGTCCATTGTATACTGATAACAGTGATTGATCTGTCAGTGTATGCAAAATAAAGCAGGTGGACCAGGTGGTTTACATTCCCCTCCTGATAGACTTAACACAAAGCAGCTGTACAGGTTTTTCATTTTTAAAGAGAGGATGGTACCGTACATGTGAATCATGCAGAGTGTAGTGTGTACCCTTGGTGGTAAGGATAAAGGCTAATGACAGTTTAAAGAAGCTAGTATACACGTCACATATTTTCTCATCCCAGTGTACATAGCAGAACAATTACTATCAGAGAATTGTCACAGATTCTCTCCCCCTCACACCTCAGTATAATCTTACCTGTAGTGTATGTGCCAGCCCAAGTGCTCCTTGCTCCACATACTCGATAGCCTTCACTGACTCAATGGGTATACGTCCTTTGATATGGCCTATCTTCTACAAAGAGAAAAGTGCATTTAATTTACAGCATGGCACGATATTGCAACATTGCATGATTCTTGTCGCACAGCCTCAAAACTCACGTCTAGGGTTCCAGAATAATAAGAGAGTGTCTGGTCGGTTAGTATGAATACTCTATGCTTGAAATTAGGTCTGGTGAATCGGTGGAGACCCTGCGAGCGCTTCCAGAGCCCTGCGATCTTCACGCCACCAGCGGTAGGGCTGGAAGCAGCGGGCTGGCGCCATTCCTCAGTCTCGTTCATTATTATTTAGAGATATCAGGAGAGAAGATACTAGTATATTCAATAGAAAGATGCGCTCGGAGCCTCTTTTGGAATCCAGTCCAAATTGGAAGATTTGAAAAATCGCTTCCCTTTTCAACACATGTTGTGTTGGGCGTGGCCAATTCACTAATTAATTAATTTGGTTTTATTAATCGATCAATGAATAATAATGAGATGCATGATAAAAATCAATTTGGTTCATTTGCTAGTCTTTTTTCTTCCCTCTCTCGTAGTTGCTCCAGCGTTAAAAGAGCAAGACCAATCTGTTCTTCCTACCAACACAAAAATATGCAATAGATACATGCAAATCAATGTAATCGCCCACTTTCTTGAAAGGCTGTGCCATTTGTCTTAGAAAACGCTTGCATATCTATACCAAGAAATATAAAACAATATTGGCATCAATATCCGCTCCATGCATCAAATGAAAACTTCAAATATTATAGGCATGCATCATACCTCATGCCAATACTATTATTATTCATATCATTAAACAAATGCAAACATTATCATCCCCTTACAATTAATAACAATGCTTCAACTTTCCCATGCATACACAACTTAACGTTTGCTAGTTTAAAAGGAGTTGAGTACACATTTATACAACTTCGATGCCAAACCAAGCTAACCCACACTTGTATTATAACAGATGAGATTCCAGAGAAGTTGTACACTTGCCACCTGCAGTAGTTTCATAACCACAGCTTACTCTGTGTCCATGATTCAAGACATCCATTCAGAAATGTACTCTTTATGTCGTAACAAATAACAAATAGGTTCAACACTATATTTTGGTTTCAAATCTTTTCTGATAAACACTTAAATAGCTTAATAAACAAGCCATTCATCATATAAACACGTCTTTATATAGGACTAAACTCCAATATTATGTACACAATATACCCAATGTAGATAATACTGTATTCTACATAGAGCGTGAAACCTATTTAGACCTCTTATTTATAAAATGCATCATTAAAAGAAAGTTCATGTGATACATTATCAGACAAAGTTAGTTTTTGGACTAGGTAGAGTTTATGCAATAGCTACAATGTGTATCTTTAGAGGTAACAATCATCAATCCATTGTACTTTCTCAGTTAATAATGCATTTTGTGAATTGGCCTTTTAACAGCCCTAGCCTATGGCACAAGGTTGTAATAATAATAATAATAGTAGGACAGTAATTAAATACTATCACTTTAGCATCATTTCTTTCATGTAAAATTTGCCTTTAGCAACAATCATTTAATATTATTCTGTGTGTGCATGCAAGAGTAAAGTACAGTCTACTGATCTCATTTAGTGTGTGGACTAGTTAGTACGGGTTGATTGATTAGTACAGTATAGCTTCTCAATACACAGACCTGATGGCATCACATTTTACGATGTACAGATGCACATACACAGACCTGATGGCAATCATGGTATCACACTTTATAATGCACAAATACCGGACACATCACATGTCAATCAATGGACTATCTCTCTCTCTCTCTCTCTTTGTGGGTGTGTTGTACCAACAATATGCCGGACTACTAGACCAATATGTATTATATGTACCTCTCTCCTCCCTTCCTTCCTCTCTCCTTCTCTCATCCTTTCCCTCTCCTTAACTACATGATCACTACACTACATGTACATGTACATCAATCTTACGTGAACAGATTCTTCAATGGAAAGGCTACAAACAGCGTCACTCAAATGCTCCTATACAAACACAAGCAATAGGTCAATCGTCATTTTACCCAATAAGGCATCACAATAGTCATTACACACATACTACAAGGATTGAGGGAAAGTGTGTGTTGTTTGTGTGTGCATTCTTATGTGGCAATGTCAGTTATGATTGTGTCTGCTGGTAGAAAACACATTACAGATGACTAGATGCGAATGAACTACCTGTATCCATTTCGGTAGCTTTCCCTTCTTATCACTGCGTCCATATCTCTATATATGAATATATAGGCTAAATAATGCATTAATATCACTGAGGATAAAATCAGATGCAATTAGCTTCCAAATATACTGATGTCATGCAAGTGGTTGGTGCTAATAGTCTATGCCAAGTCTTAATAGTGCTTCCTATGTATATGTACATCTGGACTAAGAGTGGCCCTCACCACAAACTGGTAATGTTATATTACAAGCATCCAATAGTATAGTGTATTGCTACATGCTGTTAATGAAATTACATTACTATTTTAATAGTATTTCTTAATAACAATGCATCGTTGATTATTTAAAATTTCAACTACTAAAGAAATGCATACACAAAATCAGTCATCTTTATTAAAGCAACCTATTGTAATATAAACACATTTTGTATCTCTCTAGAAATAATCATGTACTTGTCACGATTATCATCCAGCAAGTGTTTTCCCTAGGGAGATCAACTAGTAGACAAAACCACAAAACTGTTTTGCAATGATCCTTGTCAAAACTGGTAGTAAGGCAATGCTAACTCAGGCCAATCGTGGCAACAATAACACAGGTCGAACATGTACATATAGAGTATACAGGAGGAATGGTGAGTCAGAAGCAGCTGGACAGCTGTGCAATACCTTGCCCACTCACTCTGGCCACTCACCTTATCAGCAAATACCATAATACCATAATCTGTTTTACCTCTCAAAGCTCTGCCAATACACTATAGTAGAAACAATCAAAAATGAATTAATTCACGGGATAGAGTGGGATGAAGCTAGAGTAAGAAAGATAGGGGGGAGGAAGAGAGGGTAATAGGGCACCTGTGCAGAGTTTCTCATTGCGTCAAATGTCAAGAAATCATTCTCCCTGATCTGGAAATTGTCCCTTAAGAACTCAAGCCTTGCCTATTATGGTAAAATAAGAGAAATGTATAAATGTTTAAATAAAAATAAATAAACGAAACACAATAATAATATTTATGCCAAAAAAGGCCAGCCACCCATGCGCTTCACAATTGAGTGATAATTTCTCAAGAGTGATTTAACATGTCATTAAACCTGCTACCCACAACTTAGATCATTTTAACCCACACAAAAAACAATGGAACCATATTGCGTTACACATATCATAGATACAAAATGTACATATATGTATGAGCCTACACATTTAGGCCTAGTCAAGTGTGTCACTAATCACATGCTGAACGATAAAATCATTGGATAAACTCATTGTAGTAAACTTTCCTTTAAAAGTAAATCCAACACGCATTCACTGGTTATAGAACACACACACACAAACAAACACAGACATAATTATACTCCCCCGTGACAGCTCACAATCTCCATACTCTACTATCAGAGTCTGGATCATAGACTCGGATATACTATAATTATAATAGGACCAACTACAGTCTGGGTCTGTTTACTATAACCTACTGGACACAAACACTAACATACAACAGTGCTCCCATTGTTCTATTTAATCGCCATACATTGTGTGATGGCTGCGATCTGTATAGTGACTAGTCTCAATTCCTTGTATACATGTACACAACTTGATTTTTAACACTAACACTATTAGTAATAATAATATATACCATCCCATTGGACAATACCTTTAGTATCCTACTCTGTGTATATACGTACGGTATGCCTATCATTATGACGGCTCTCCCGTAATGATGATCTATTATGAGAATGTATATAGAGAAAGTGAAGAATAGTAATGATGCATGTAAACTTCAAAGAAGGTGAAAGTTCAAAGAGAAAGTGTTTTCATTGTGTCAAGGTCAGTGTTCCGTCAGAGTTATCATTGTATTGAATAGCTGACAGGAGGAGACAAACAATATCTCTAATCACTGCCAAAACTGATTGTCAAGTACAAACAACTTCCACAAACACAACAAATAAATATATCAATAAACTGTATGCTACTGGTGAGCATTTTTAGGATAATAATAACAATGATGATAATAATTAGAAATTTTAAATTACCAAAATCGACACCTTCTGATACTTTCCCCCTAACAACAGAAAGAAGAAGAGCCCCACGGCCATTTTCACAAGCCTATGTGTACAATATATACAATAACTAACTGTGATGGGGTACGTGTAGAAAGAGAGAGAGAGAGAGAGAGATAGTAGTGGAGAGATTAAAGGTCAAAATGATATCACCAAGAAGTGATATCTCACAATTAGATAACAGTGAAAGTTAACTCAAATGTTGAAAGTAAACAAGCCACATAAAAAGATAAGCATAATACAAAGAATTAGCAGAGAGGAAAGAGAAACAAAGATATGGATTATTTTTTCACCTTCCTGTAATTATTGAGAGCCATGTTCATCTCAGCGTTATCAACAGTCTCCACAAAGACTAGCTTATTTCGCTGTATCTTTGACATCAAGCCCTGATCAACCCATTCATGAACTGTCTGTTCCTATAGTGCCCTTCACCATAGCAATACATATGGGCTGATTGTACTAACCATGTACTCGTAAGATGGAAAGAAAGCAACAATGCCATCAGGTATGACCGATGAAAGCTCAACCACAACATTACCATAATTACGAATTATTGCTAAGAGGGAGAGAGAGACAGAGACAGAGAGAGATTTACCATGTGTACATACAATAGTAGGGTTTGTACCAGTGTCTCCTCTCTCTTCAAATTTGGTAGTTATAGATACTTGATCATTACCACGGGCTACAATCTAAGCACACAGAGTGAAACACAACCACATCAAATAGAGCACAGGGCACCTTATTGTAATGTACATAAGAGTGATGCGTGAATATGTGAATGGTATATGAGTGTGTATGTGTGTTACTGTGTTTACTATTGGACAGATGCAAGGTCTTGCTAATGATATGCCATAAGAACTGAGCAGAGCTGGTTGAAACCTGAGGAGTCTAGGATACATGTCTAGAGGTGATATTGTCTTCAGGGAAAGAGGGAGGAAATGTGGTATATAAGGATTAAGGAGGTAGAAAACAATAAAAGAATTAATAAAAAAATAATAAATAAGGAAGAAAATGAAATAAGAGGGAGAAAATGAATAAGAGAGAGAGAGAGAGAGAAAGAGTATTGTCCCCCTCTTATTCAACAGTGTACTATGTGCTTACAGCTGATGTGAGAATGACTGATGTATAATGATCAAAGACTGGCTTTATGGCTATACCAGCGTCCATACAGCTAATATGGAAGGATTTATAATTTTATCTAAATGGGTAAGTGTATATTGACCTGAAGTGGAGGATGGGGTTAAAAATAGTAGGAGCACGATTATCAAAAGGCTCGATAATGAGACTGAAGCCTAATAAAGCAATGACAGTAATTTTAAAATAATGTTTTTAAAAAAGAATTCATGTGGGAACATTATAACCACCTTCTGTGTAAGTCGAGACTAATGTAGCAAAATTGGCTACTTTAGTAATGGCAGAATAATCAGATAATTCTAATAATTGGAGAGTCTGTAACATGAAGTGTAACCTCTCAGAACAAAACCTGAGAAAGGAGAGAGTTTTCTATTGAACATACAAAAACGTAATACCTCAATGGCTTTCTATCAATGCAGACTGTCGAGTAGATATTTTGAAGAAAATATTTTGGAGTTTCAGAAACGACATGTCTCGCCAATAATCTTGACTATTAAGGTTATGAATAAAACTATTATAAAGCATCTCTTGTTCCTCTACCTTTAAATATTCAGCGAATCTCTTCATGAAGAGCAAGAAGTGCTCACCACGTCTCATATTACCAGGCAGAGCCTCTTGGAGCACATCGTCAGGGAGTACTATAAAGTGTCATCATACAATAAATATACTACAGTCTGTTGATGGTTTATTGAAGGGTTTCCCACAGGATATTGGCATAGTGCTTCTTGTCAGTGGATTGTAAAGTTGCTGAAAAATTGGGTAGAAGGCCCTGTACAGGGTATTTCGACAAAAATCACAAGAAAAAAATTCTGCATTTTTATAAGTTTTTCTGATGCATATACATGTTCTTATGCTGTGTATCAAGTTTTAGCTGATTCCAATCAAGTTTGGATTTTTTATAAATTTTTAAAGTTGCTCAAAAATGGGGCCAACGACCAAAGGCTATAGCCTTTGGTCTCGGGCCAAATTTTGACAAAAATCACAAGGAGAGAATTATGCATTTTAATAATTTTTTCTGATGCATATACATGTTCTTATGCTGTGTATCAAGTTTGAGTTGATTCTGATCAAATTTGAATTTTTTATGAATTTTTAAAGTTGCTCAAAATGCCATGTACTGTATTGTAGTGCTTGTCAGCTCATGCCATTTAGCTCACTTAGTATACTTTGTGGGAAACCCAGGTATAGTGTATAGTTTATTACCAGGATTAGCCAGCTGTATGTCATTCTCTCTCTCTTCTCTAGCCCGCCTTAGTCCTTCAACTAGTCTTTGGTACTCTTGACGTAATCTTTCCTCACCTAACCTGTCAACAAATGCTATAAAGTCAAGTTTTTTAATTCTCACTCTCTCAGTTTAGCTTGAAGATTGTTAATGTTAGCTGTACATTTCTCTAACGTCTTTCTCCCAATTGTGATACTCATTGACTCAATGCAAACATTATCTAAGATTAAAAATAATTATTATTTATAAATTTGAGATGGTAGGCAAATTAACATTTGCATTACCAATGTTGTGAGCTTCGTCAAAAACCACAACTGATTGCTGTGGTAGCCCCTTAGAGACAATCTCTGCAATTTTAGGATCGAGCAAGTAATGATAGCTGTACATGATGACGGTTGCATGTCCAAGCTATCATAAAATAATAATAATAATAATAACATTTTCAATATTATCACTATAATGTACACTGTTTTATTTATCATAATTTCCTCATTATTATTATTATTATTTTGATATTGAATTACCGTATATCTTGCTAGGTAATATGGACACCATCCCTTTGTCTGTCCTAAGCTCTTCAGGTCATCCTGTCACCAATCATGCAAATGAATCAAAGAGTGGAGGGTAAACATGCAATGAAGTACTTAAACACATTATTTTATATACATACCATGTCATATACTCCAGGCTTTAATGGGTCAACTCTACCCTTAACATCAAACTCCTGTGATAAAGAGGGAAAGGGGAGTGAAGGGGGAGAGAAAATACAAAGTGAAAGCAGCTAAAAAAGGAAGTCATTTACTCAAACCTCAAAGAATTGACAGACCGGTGTACTCTTATCAGCTTTGTGTTTCTCTCTAACAAAAGATGCTGTCAACTTGTAACACTCTGTATCAACTAGCTTCCCCTCCTTGTTACCAGCTATCTATAATGTACATAATATTTATTCCCCTCTCCATTAGCTCTCACCATTGGATGAATGCAAAGGTTTTTACGGGAACTGAGGGCCACGCCTAGTACGTTTGGCGTAGAACCAAATTCTGATTTATAAGCATCTAATAGTCTCTTTAGCTCAGACATTGCCTAAAATATAAATATGGTAGATTTTAGTGCTTAATTTTTTTAATTTGCTATTGAAATCAATTCAAAATTTCAAACACCTTGTTGATTTCTTGTACAGTCCTGGAGCAATAAATGAGTTTTTGAATGTGATGAGGATGAGCCTAATAATTAATTGATAATTACATTTCATTAAACTAATTATGATATACCTACCATGTGATAAGCAATGATGAGTGCCAGCAATGATACCGTCTTCCCAGTACCACAAGGCATCTCCAGTACACAGTGCCCCTACATGCATAATCATCACACAAAACATGAGAGTAGCATAGTTCAATGATAGTTGTGAACAAACCTTAGCATCTAGCGTGCGTTTGAGATCAAGCATGTACGTGTATTGCTCTGGGTATACATACTCATATGGGAATATAACAAGCAGACCATCTATATTGATCCTAAGGAATAAGAAAATAATTATTGTGAAAAAAACATCATTTTTCTTACTTCATTTTTTATTTACACGTGAAAAGTGGGTGGGGCTTACTGAATCACATATCCCATAGATATTAAAGAGTACTCTATTATCTATGCATATCCTGAAAATGAAACGAAAAATAAACGGAAAATGATTTTAGTAAATTCTTTGTTCATTTCCGTAAAAATTGATTGCACGGGGGAGGTTTTGCGCATGCGTAGCAATTTTGCGCGGGAACAAGCATGGAAGAAGATGGAGATTTTGTTTCTTTGAGAGTGTCAGAAATTCAAAGTAATCATGCTTTATTTTCATTGTGTTTTTTATTAAAATTAGGTCTATTATCTCAGCTTACCGGAGGAACTTGCCAAGACGAAGAGAGGATTGGTCTACTAGCTGAAAGGATCCTACAGATTGTGGAATCTCTCCCTTCCCATCTCTCCAATCCTACCTTATCAGGACAGCTGCACGTGGCAGCTGTAACTCTTTGGAATAAAGTCGTGTTCAAGAAATCAGATGCCTCTTTATCACTATCACTAAATGCTCAATGTAACATGTACAAGTATATATAATTATTATAAATTAACTTTCTCTCTCTAGTACGCCATGTTGCCCTATCTCTTGTTTTCCTTTGTGCTTCTCCAAATGAAAACTCGGCACAATTACTCAAGAAGCAAATCACGGTATAATTCTTACCCACTAATTACTGGAATTTTATTTTTGTTATAGATGGCAATTAAGACCGGAAGGGCCTGGCTTGGTAAATTAATATTAATTTTATTGATTAATATTTATAAATTTTGTAGAGTGTGATAATCCAATGATGGCAGAAACGTCTCTTGAACTTGCCAATCAGGTTATTAATGATAATAATATATTTTTATGAAGTAATTGTTGCTCTTAATACTTTATAACAGTGTTGGTTGAGATTGAGTAAAAGTTATGAAGAAGGATCAGTGCCTACTGATACCCTAGTACTTTATTTTAAGATACTCTGCTCTCAAATTGAAGCTGTAAGAGAAATGAAGAGAGATGAAATTAATCTATCTCTCCTTCTTTTCTTCAGTTCTTTGGTATTGGTAATCATGAGAAGGCTATTGAAATGGTCGACAAAGCAAAGGAGATTATTGGTACACAGGATAAAGATGTAACTCATAATGTAGTGCAGTGCAGTGTAGGTTGATTTACATATTTAGATGGGTCATTTATCAATGCTCTGCTATAATTGTGGACTACAAGAATTCCAGAATGAGAAGCACAGCAATGCAGTTCAATGGTTTAAGTAAGATACATGTCTGTATACTTACGTGTCTACTATTAGTATATTATCAGGATATCGTTTGTCTATTATTAGTATATTATGGTATCTTTTTTTGAAGGGAAAGCTATGACATTGGTCGTGGATGTAATGCAGTTGGAGCTGTTAAACAGGTTTTCCTAGTTTTAAAAATATTTTTTTGACTATTATTTTGTGCAGGCTCGGTCTTTACGTTTATTAGCAAAGTCCTATTTAGAATGGGATGGAACAAGCCATTGGCAGAAAGCTCTTAATGCAGTGGGTCAGTATTACACTCTCTATCTATCTATCTTTAGCTCTTTCTATATCTTTAATAGGACTGGCTAATTCTGAGCATTTTCATTTGTCTGGTCTTTTTCTCAAGCTATCCATATTGATGCAGTATGTGAAGCAAAAGGACAGAATTACTACAGGTAGTATGAATAAACTTTGTGTCATCTCTGTCTCTTTTTCTGCTTCTTCAGCTTTCAATGATGTTCTCTCTCATCCTGAACTCAGTCTTGACATTGGCTCAGCAGCTGTCAAGTTAGCAATTGAGAACAAACAGCCGGAACTAGCTTTCAATGCCCTCCAACTACTCAAGCAGACAATGAAATCTCCAAGTGACAGGCAAGCACTGCAGCAGCTACACCTGGTAAGAACCACTAGTACCTATATACAACATATACATGTATGTCATTTTAATGTAATGCATTATACATATGGTAAAGGGCCACTGATGATTATTAGTGTTACAAGTGTGACATTTTCTATACATGTGCATATTATGCATTTGATTTACATACATGTACATGTACATACATGTATTGCATATTATTTTCTTAGGAATTGCTATTGGATAATGGAATGTTTGGAGATGCTAAACAACTTATAGAAGAGTGCATCGAAAGTACATTTCTAACCTAGCTGTCTCTTATCTTTTAATTATAAACTCTCCTGTCCTATACTCTCTCTCCCTTCTTTAAGACCACAGTAGGTCTGATCCTCTGGATATGAAGACTATTCAACAGTTTCATATAATCTTATGGTCTCAAGCTTCAAAATCATACGATGTACTATAGAGGAGAGATAATAAATGTATCTTGAGTTGTATCTCATTATAGAAAGAAGACTATGATTCAGCTTTGGATTGGTATCGATATTCGTTGCTTCTCTTCCCATCTGATGCAAGCCATGATAAAAACATAGCCAAACTACAAGTATGCACATTCGATTCAAACGTATTCTCCACAGCTGCTCGTAATCCCTCTTTTTCATTAGAGGAACATTTCCAACTGTCACATTCAAATGGCCGACCTTAACAAAGCAAAGGATGCTATAGACCAATCCTTGTTACATGACAAAGAGTCTGCACACTCACATTATCTGGCATTTAAGATTGGAGTGTTAGTCAACAATACTGAACAAGGTATTTCTATCACTCACATGTACTATATATCCTAGCTCTTTTTTACGATAATGTTCCCTCCTTTCTAGCCCTCCAGTCATTGCAGATGATGATGGAGTGTGTCCAGGATGCCGATTTACACGGGCTCGTTGCAATGTCAGCTCAGCTTGCCTTTGAGGTGCATTTGTAAATGTATATCAGCTGTAGCATTATGAATGACTTGATCTTCAATTCTTCATATCATCAATATACATTCATAGAATCACAATAGAGACGTAGCACTGTATGCATTAGAGAACCTAGTCCAGACGTCTTCTAATCAACAGCAGGTGCTCACTTCTCTCAGGTCAGGCAACTCTCACATGCTCAATGACTTACTGCATACTCTAGGTGTCTCATTAGACTCAAACTGACTTTCTTTAAAAATGAAGACACTCCAAGCAATAAACTGTAACTACAATGTATGACATTATTATTATTATTATCATTAATTCCATGCTGTAGAGTTCATTTGTCGTCGCTGCTCAAGTACACTGAGCTTGCTAGTAATCACCTCACTGAGTGCGTGACTGGAAATGGTCCACTGGGTCTTTTGTCTTCGTCTCAGAAAGATGAGGTCCTCTGGTTTTCTAAGATAGCTTGGAATATTGCACTGGAGGCTGGGGATTATTATAAAGAAATGATGAAAGCGTTTGATATCTGCCAAAAAGTTTGTGCACTCATTCAATAATTATCCTATTTTATTTCTTTTTGTGTCTTAATTTTCTTTCTCTCAGCTGTATCACTTATTGCCTCATGATATTTCAATTGCCAATAGAATCAAGACGTGTCGCTTGATGTCAGCAGCTGCCGGACTGCAGGCAGCCAGACAGACGGAGAATAAAGATGAACAAGTGCATTCATTTATGTGTGTACCATGTATACTAATCCCCCCTCTGTCTCTTTCCCTTGCATTGTTAGGTTATAATACTAAAAGATGTCTTGTCTCATATACAAGGATGTAGGGAGTTCATTAATAGTAGAAGCATCAGAGGAGGAGGAGGAGCAGTAGACATGTCTCCTTCTGGGAATTCAATCCTCTCTCTTTTGTGTCTTTATGAATTTGAGACTCAATTAGTGCTAGGCTCACCTGATGCAGTTCATATTTTAGACGTGGTGAAGGCTTCCTGTCCCAGTCCTGATCCAAAGACATACGAGAATATTGCAGGTGGGTGTCTTTGGCCACATTTCACCAAAAATGACTAGAAGAGAATCCTATTATAAATCATTTCTACTTTTTTATGATAGCTTTGGCTATTCGTTATCCACTCAGAGATGGAAGTACTGCTCTAATTGTCAAGAAATCGCTTCAAATTGCCATTGATCTACATATGAATACTAATCCAAGGGATACCGAGAAATTAAGGTTTTAAAATCTTTACTACAATCACGTGATACAAGTTCTATTTTATTTCTATTCCTCAGTCATTGTACTCATAGCTTGGTTGATATATTATTGGCTAATGAGTATAGTACTGACATGTCTGCCAAAGAGGAAGCTAAACAGATCTTATTACTGACTTATAAACTCATCAGTGAAGATAAAGTATAGAATAGTGCTATACTATAAATTCCTTTTATTATCAGCCAATTTCTCTCTCCATTTTTCTCTACTACATAATAGTACCCAGAAATGGAGATAGCTTGGCATATGACCAAGACATGGAATACAGGGATCTATCTTTACAGGCAAATAAAATATAAAATATTGTAATTCATCTATTGTTCTCCTTCAGTATGATGAGACTCCAAGATGCAGAGCAATGGTGCTCTCTGGCAATGAAGTTTCTCCCTCATTTGTCAAAGACATTATGCAACACGTATCAGGATCAAGTAATACAGTTCAAAAATACCCTTTAAATATATGTACATGTAGATATAGGCATATGAGAAGATATTTAACTACACACAATGCCTTGCAACTGTGCTTATTAGTGTGTGTGTGTGTGTTTATGCCAGGAATATATTCCAAGAATTAACATGTGTACTATGCTGTACAGTGATATGTACACTGTATTCCATTTACATGTGTACTATGCTGTACAGTGATATGTACACTGTATTCCATTTACATGTGTACTATGCTGTACAGTGATATGTACACTGTATTCCATTTACATGTGTACTATGCTGTACAGTGATATTGTACACTGTATTCCATTTACATGTGTACTATGCTGTACAGTGATATGTACACTGTATTCCATTTACATGTGTACTATGCTGTACAGTGATATGTACACTGTATTCCATTTACATGTGTACTATGCTGTACAGTGATATGTACACTGTATTCCATTTACATGTGTACTATGCTGTACAGTGATATGTACACTGTATTCCATTTACATGTGTACTATGCTGTACAGTGTACATGTGTTGATATGTACACTATATTCCATTTCCAGTGTGTGTTCATATACATGTACATGTACATATAAGTCTTGATAGTAAATCAATGTGTGTAATAAATGCCTTTACTATACTGCTAGATGACATCAGTCTATACAGAGATTATTGATAAAATCTCTCTTGATGCTCAGAAACACCAGCTATAGCAAAGGGGAACATAAACATGAACGTGGGAACATTCAATCATCAAATCATGCAATGAACATCACTTCTACATTAAATCATGTATAGAATGATTATTTAAATTAAAAATAAAAAGGACAAAATATAAAAAATTGAGAAGGAAAGAAAAGGGAGAATTGAATAAAAGTGAACGTCACGTGATAAGGAGACACGTATGCACAGTTGAGTGCGGCATCACATGATAGTCACATGACTAAACATCCGACCGACGGTATACATTATTAATAATGGCACCACCGTCTTCATTATCATCAATAGCGTCTTGATTAGAGAACACCATGGGGGACTGTGGTTCACTACTTCCACTGGAATGTAGCAGCTGCTCATGTCTCACGCGATCCCAGTATCGTCTCTTTCCGTTTCTATACAAGTAATGACACCAACAGATACACAACAGAGTCACTAGTAGGAATAGAGAGATGGGGACGAGAGCTATGAACCAGAGGTAAGGAGATCGTGATGGTGAGGAGGTAGTGACTGTGGGAGGGTTTGTCGTATAATATGAACTGAGCAAGTCAAGTACGACTCCATTAGTCCAACCAAAGCCGGATTGTAATGAATATTCACCGCCTCCTCCTGGCTGACCTGACGCTGTGCAGTTATACTATAAAGAGAACACGATTATCGAGAATTAATAGAAATACATGATGTATGCTAAAAAAAATTATTCATAACTTCTCTCTTACTTTCTCAAACATTGAGTGGTTGTATTGTATCCATGCTTGATAATTGGACCTCAGCCAAGTCTCTGTGAGGTTTCTAGCTGCCTTGTTCAGTTCCTGGTCGTCGGCTCCTTCCCATCCTTTCACTAGAAACCACTGGAGAGGAGCCCAGGCATTAGGAAAGTCCCACTGCTGTCCGGTGCTGTTTTGAGACGTGGGGAGTCCTCCGGGGTAACCAAGGAAACCAAGGGATTTCAATCGACCGAGTGTCAGTCTTCCTTTAGTGTTGTTAAAGAGAGACTTATCAAGTGAGTAAGTGTAAAATGGAGTGAGGGATGAAGCATATACAGCATTGAGGTGGGACCCTTCTTCCAGTGACCAGTCCTTATAGAGTCCTTCTGTCTCCGCCCATAAAAGGTTCTCAAAGAGAGAATGTCGTCGAGTCCAGGCACTAGCATAGTCTTCGGCAAAATCATCAAAACCTGAAAATACAATAAAATTTAATTTAATGAGTCATCAAAAACACACTGTGTTACCAGTGATTCTGTGGAGCTTATACAGCAATATCTCATTAGCTCCAAGTATAGCATTGAGATCCACTGGTATTATACTCTTGGCTCTCATCGAAGACAACTGACCCGCCATTGGTCCGCTGGTTGAGAGCCATCTTGAGCTAAAATCCCAGCCAGACTCAGCAGCTGACATTATATTTGAATAAAGCTCGGGCTGTAGCTCTGTATTTAGATTTGAAATGGATGTTAAACAGCAACAACAATGCTTCAATTATACCTTCAGATACTTCACTAGCAGTTTCTATATCTTCTCTATAAGACTCTGGCCTACAAAAAAAACAATCAATCCAACATTACAAGATGCATGTACTTGGTATATTAAATGTACTCTCTTACCTTGGGACATTAGCAGTGGATGCATATCTATTAGCAGTACAATCACAGCCTGGTACATATACTGATCTATTGGTCATCCAGAACTGGTACTCTTTGTCCAGCATTGGTAGCATCTCCTTAACAAACCCGGTATCATTCGTTGCCTCATAGTAACTGTACACCATCCACGTTAGAAGAGGAGGCTGGGATCTCTTAGTATAATATACCCTACCACCATTTGGGACAAAGCCATACCTTTGAAGAGGTAAGTGTTTATTAATGGGAGTTAGCTCTGTCTCTGTTTGCATACCTTTCAATCAAGCTACCCATGTTTCTAATCATTCCTTGTGTTGTATTGAACATTTCACATAGAAGTAATCCTTTGATGATCCAGTAGGAGTCCCTATACAATAACATATGTCAACACATTAACATGACAAAGGTACATGTACATGTACATGTACTCATACATGTGTACAAAGCATGTGTACATAAATGAGTAAGGGAGGGAGGGTTATACCCACCAGTAATAGAATTCAATAAATCTTCCACCAGGTGCTATAAAAGGATTATTGACCGCCAATAGTGAGTGTCTTGATGAATGCTGGTATACTGACTGGTTTAACTATATTCAATAATAATAATCATAACACACACTAATAATGGCACTATATTCCCAAAAACTAGCATCCGTACTATCTTGTATAGTGTCATTAATATTTTTACTTTTTTCCCAAATGTTTTCCATAGGCCATTAAGACTTGATGCCCACTCCTTGTACTGCTCATTGCTAATGGAGTCAATAAACTTTGGACTATAAAAATGAAAGAGGAGGCATTGTTCAAACAAATAAGCAGCTGTGTTTATAGTGTGTACCTCTCAGTCCAGTCCGGAGGCTCCCATGGCATCAGATCAGATCCAGGTAAGTCAAACCATTCTTGTACGAACTGAGTTAGTGTGTCCACAGTAATGTTAGCCAAGTTATTGTAGGCAGATAATACAGTATCTAATAATAATAATAATATAAACTCCAAAATTTATTATTATATATTTCTCCTACTCTCCTTCTCTATATAAAATAACTTAACCTATTCTAATTTATATTTTTACATTTGTTAATAATAATAATAATAATAATAATAATAATAATAATAATAATAATAATAATAATAATAATAAAATATGGTGCATAAAAGAACTACAATCAACCAGCCATCATAAAATGCATTCTTTTTAGTATTTTATTATTACTATATTGCTACGTGACAAAAAATAAACGTTTACGCTAAATATGAAAGCAAAGGCAATAACAATCAAACAATGGTTGTCCACATGGATAGCTTGTGGTGATAATGATGACTATAGCAACAATTTGGGGAGAAGTAGAGATAAGTAATACACAATTTGTGACATGTGATATTATAGTAATTTCTCTCCTTTTAAACTGCCAACTCCACTCCATTTTAATTAATAACAGCTATGCATTACAAGTGACACAACTGATTTACTCTAGCATAATAATGTACATACATGTACATGTATGCAATTTTGCTGCTGTCACAACAATTACGAATCAATTCACTTGAATTAATAATTCCATAAGAATATGTGCAAATGCTATTCTTAAGTCAACATCCATTTATTAAGTAATATATACAGTGGGTGAAACATAGACTATTGTAATGAACAAAAAACAAGCAAACATCATTAGGTAGCCTTCAATCAGTAAGAATTAAAAAGCTGCTGTTACTATCATTGCTTAATGATGTGTGTCAGGTACAACAGGTATCTATGGTACAACAAGCAGGCGACAGATCCGATTATAGTAAATGGAGCTGAGATGTGTCACTTCCTACACATTCATGTCATATTTTCTTTCTATTCTCGGGAGAAATCTTGTTAAAAACAAATAATGGGTCACACAGCGGCACTCTCGCTGTTTCTATATGCAGTGCATATAAATCTAATTTCAGGACAACTGCTAATACAATAAATTATTAATACAAAAGAGAGGCATGCCGTGCATGCACATTCATGATCAGTTAGAGCATAACCACAGGCTATAGTATGCTCAAGTTTTCTTGTATGGTCCTACAACTCTCACCTGGATCGGCTCTCATTGGCATATCTACAAATCTCTTCGAGTCCTGGAATACTTCCATCGTTTGTATGTCGTCTAAAAGCTCTCCATAACAATACACGGGACTGAGAGAGAGAGAAGGAATGGCGGGATTAGAGTAGGACTGGGTAGGATACAGAGTGCTTTTTCTTACTTGTCACAGGCCTGTATGGTCTCGTTTTGTGTCTCGGCTACATAGAAAAGTGTTAACAGCGCCGACAGTGACAATGCGACAGATCTGAAAGCTGCCATTTGGACACATAGCCACACCTTCCACTCACACTATTATTTTATTTATTACTTTACATGTAGTATGAAAGTTTACAATCACAAAACAATTACAGCTCAATCCTTAACAATAGTATTTGATGATTACAAGCACACAAACATACACGAGAAGAATAAACTCTTGTTTATTTGGTCTTTGCTTTTCATTCTCCAGCAGTAGCAGTTGATGCTGATACTTGGAGCAAGAGGTTAGGCCTCTTCTCCATCTCCATGAACTGATCAAACTTGTCCTGAGAATTAATGCAAACTACTTCACCAGAGTCGCCCTGTCTGTATGCCATACTGAAATCCTTAATGTTCTGAAAGTTACCTTCCGTCCTTACTTTATTTAACAAGGTCTGTAGCGAGACTGGCTTAGGACAGGATATCCTTAGCAGCTGGCCTTGGCACGTTCCTTGAATATCAATGTCAAACGTCTCATTTGTAAGAGCATAGCTTCGTGCCCTTGAGCGATGGACTGTTGTAGGCTCATCTCCTTCATCTGCCTCCAACATTTCTTGCATTTTCCTTGCATCAACTTTATAAGAGAAAGGGAGTCCCTCTATGTGCGTCTCTGAGGTACTTGGGTTCTCAATTGGCTCTGGTGAGGACCTGGAAGGGGAGTCTTCAAGAGGCATGTCCTTACCAGATTCAGATGGCATATGTGACTCCCCAGCATAAGACATTGAGAATATCATGGAGGACCTTGGATCAGGCGAGTGGTCTTCTGGTGTGTAGCTCGTCTCAAATGGTTTCAAAGTCTCACGAGTATCATCAATAGGGGCACTGGGGTTGCTCTCTGGTTCATCAGTAGTAGTGGTAGTGAGGTCTTCAACGATATGAGTGTCATCTTTGAATTGAAGGTTCTTGATCATCCTAGCCACGGTCTTGTGATTATCAAGGTATCCAGGGCTCTCCTCTTCTATTATCTTCATTTGACGTAGTGTTGCTCCACTGTATGCCTCCCACAGTATCATTACTCCAGAGTTATCAAGAGACTGGCTCTTGTCTTCTTCTGTTTGAGGGAAGTCATCAAGTGGGTATCCCTCCAGCGGTGATTGGAAACCTTTAGCTCCACTAACAACCATACACTTTTCCTTCTGACAGGGTCCCTCGCAGGGTACCGTAATGAGGAACCTAAGGTACTGCGTGTAAGGATGGAAGTGCATTATGAGCTCCTGTTCATGAAATAGGAGGATGTGTCCAGTTGCCATTCCAACCCATACCACGTCCAAGGCAGGCGTCATGCAGGTCATAATGGCGTCATACTCTGACTTGTCTCCAATCCCAATCTGTTTCATTAGTACCTCCCTCACATCAATGTCGTACAGATGCTCTTCATTCTGTGTGTCCC